CTTTCCTTAGAGGTCGAAGGACCCTAAGGAGCACTGTGCGTCTAGTGTGAATCTTTCCTTTTTGAATGTTTGTTCAATTGTCACCGTTGAGGTCGGGACAACGGAAATCTTTTTGGCTATCAAACATGGAATTGGATAAATAGGAGTCGTAGGTATCGAATTCGTCGTGAGGTAGTGGTCGAACGCACTGTATCCAATCTTCGTTGCCTTTGGATCTTAGCATTTTTGTATGAATTAAAATTCTCCCACCAGGTAATCAAAGTTTTGGTCTTGTTGCGTCATTTGTCCTCGTTGTCTATAAGAATAAGACTCGGAAGCATGCAGTTGAAGAAAATGACGTCGGATTTTCCCCTAGTCCGATTGTTGTTTCCCTAAACGAATCATACAATAAAAATTTTACTTGCTCGACGAGCTCCTGTGGGTTAGGTGGTACACTGATAGCTGGGACATCAGTGAGAAGTGTGAGTTAATACATAATATCATAAAATATGTGAAGTTGGTTGAGCAACCATTTTTCACGTAATGATGGATCTAACAAATATGTAACTAAAATGTATCGGGAATGAAAAAAAAAATAATATTTTTACCATTTTCTTAAATAGTCTCTTACAAGTTCGCCATGTTTGTCTAGAGAAAATATCTCTATAACCGCACTCTACGGCTGAATATTGACTTACAACAAGTTGAGCAGTATGATAGTGAACACCAGAAAGTACGTTAGAAGCTACACAAAAAGAGTTAGTTCTTAGTGGCCAACACTTACTATTTTCTTACTGATCAAAAAGTTCTCAAGCTAAACAGAGCTCAGAGCAGTGAGACAATCCTCATAAATCAGAAGGCCAGATGCAGACTATAGAGATTAAAAAGTTAAAGATAAGATCAAGCACTTTTATGTGGAAGTGCATTTCAGGTATCCTCTATGTTAATATGAACTTGAAAAGTAAAGGTTTGGATGTTGATCATATTCGTATGGTTTGGGGTTTTTCTGAGGAAATAATAGAGCATGTATTGTTTGATTGTCCAAAGGCTTTACTGGTGTAGAAATTGGTACCAATTAGCTGTGAGGGACTTAATGGACTTGATTCTTTCAAAAACCGATGGTGGCACATCAATGAGATTGATAATAGTGAGGTTTCAGAAGCCACGATTCAATTTTCTACATATATATTGTGGTGGCTTTGAAAATCCCGAAACCTGTGGCATCGACTCCTTCAATAAATAAAGCTACTATCTCCGATTGGACTGAGTTAGAAGAAGTGCACCGGCCGTTTGTCTCTGGGAGGAGGAAGCAACTATGAAGATGGTCTTGTGTCGTTGGATCAGTGAAAGTCTTAGTGTCATCTTTTTTTTTTTTT